ATCCCAAGTCGCGGTCGCGCTCGCCGGCCAATGAGACGCGTTGCTCCCTAGGGGACGATCAGATGCCACCAGTGAGAAACTATCGCCATAAACATATAAAAGATAGACTGCTTATGAGGTATTATTATTGTCTTATTGATGAGTTTGTTGGCTCCTGGCTCCAGTCCGGATCCAATACGGCCACGTCTAACCAATAGTCGTGCGCTTATGAGGTAGTGGGGGATGTCCTCCTGAGGGAAAAGAACAACACCAATTTATTTGGGTATCTGTCTTCTTCTAGTGTACGTGATAACGTGGGCGTGAATACGTGATCGCCTTCAGATTACGTCCACTCAATACTGGAATGAGTGATCTATAGTTCTGGCTGTTGCCGAGAGAAAGGTGCGTTGGGTGAATCCTTGTCTCCTTCTAGTACTACCTGATTGGATAATCGCATATAAGTGACGCCGGCCTTCTTCTTATAGCTACTACATAAAGGACAGCTGACTCGTCCGCCATGTTGGAGCCCAAGTTTTATTCGCGGTAGTTCGATGTAAATTTATTTCTATTATTTTTTATGTTGTTTCGTAAAAATGACTGGCTGTTCGGCCCCAAATTGTTCAAACCACTCAAGGAATGGCTTTAAATTCTACAGGTAAGTATTTTTATTTATTAGTAGCAAAAATGTAGACAAATTTGCCTAACCTTACTTTCTTCTTTTTACTTACATATATTTTTATTGACTTTTTATTGATGACTTCTTAATTATAATATTATTATATTATTAATGTTAGTAATAACGTCTTTGATTATTGCTATCTTTTGTTATTGTTTAGGTTCCCTGCAGATCCTGAAAGGCGAAAAAAGTGGTTGATAAATTGTAGGAGACAAGACTGGAATCCAACACAAAATGATCGCCTGTGTTCGGTAATTATTTGTGCTAAATTTGTGATCAACATATTAGCAAAGATAATGATCATTCTGGGAAACATTTTGTTTTATGTTTCTAGGAACATTTTGAAGAATCTCAAATTGAACAAGGTCGTGCTGATGGCAAAAAGCGTTTACTACCATTTGCAGTGCCAACAATATTTAATGTGCCCAATACACCAAAATTACTTAATCCTCCTAGAAACAGTTTATACAAGGTAATAAGGATAATTTTGTGTATGTAAACCATTGTTAAAGTATTTAATATTTACAGAGATGTAGAGAAGAAGATGTAAAAAATCAATGCTGTGATATCCAACCCAGTAATAAGCGTTTGAAACTAAATGTACTTTCTGAGAGTACGAATTTGACACCTCCGTTAAATTTTTCTAATTACTCTAAGGATTTACTTTGTGAAGATGTACCCGAATGTCAAAATAGGGTAAGCAACATTTCCTACAAGTATTCCTTTTATTTTTTTATTAAGTTACGGTAATCATGAAAATTTCACCCCTCGAGATTTCTTCAAATCTTGTTTTATTATATTATTTATTATAACTTTATATTACTTTTATTATACATTTCTTTAAATTAATTTTTTTTATTATATCGTTTCAGAGCTCAGATGATCAAATTCAGATTCTTGAACTGAAGAAGAAATGTGCTCAGTTAGAAGAAGACATAAAGTCTAAAAATGACGCAATTGCCAAATTTTTAACACGTGAGCAATTTCCAACACTTTCAACAGAAAGAAAGTGCATTAAAAAATGGAGTCATGAGGGAGTAATAAAAGGCTTGAAGTTGAGGTTTGCTTTGGGTAAAAATGGTTACAATTTCCTGCATGAAACTGGTTATCCTGCGCCGTCTTACAGTACTCTAAATAAAAGGATTTTTTCTATCAAAATCGAATTTGGATTGCTGCATGCTATTGTTGACTTATTGGAAAAAAAAATAGAAAGCATGCAAGATATTGAGAAAGATTGTTCAATAATGGTTGATGAGATGGAAATTTCTGGCGACTTAGATTTCGACAAATCAAAAAAGACTTTTATTGGACAAGTTACACTTGGTGATACAAATAAGAAGGGTAATCATTTAACTGTAGCTGCTTTACGAGGATTAAATACACCGTGGAAACAGATTATTGCTTGCCATGTGACTGGCCCATCGACTAATGGAAGTGACATGAGTAAATTCATTCTTGAAATAGTGCAAGCTGCTACTTCAGTTGGTTTAAATGTTAGAAGTGTTTGTTCAGATATGGGCAGCAACAACAAAGCTTTGTGGGCCTCGCTTGGAATATGTGTCAGTAGAGATCAACGAATAACCAGTTTTAAAGCAGACAACTCAAACAGGCAAATTTATGTACTTGCGGATATCCCCCATCTTCTTAAAAATTGGAAATCTGCCATTCAACGGTCTCAAATATATTTACCAAAGAAAGTTATCCGAGAGAACCATTTACCAACGAATGTGGTCACTGGAAAATATATTACTGATCTTTGGAACCATGAAATGAGAAATAAAAAGCGTCTACGATCTCTGCATCACCTCACACAGGAAATTGTTACACCAGGGCATTTTTCAAAAATAAATGTAGGAAATGCCATGAGATACATATCTATAAAGACTGCTGGTGCTTTAGAGACGGCTGTTATACAAAAGATTTTACCACGTGAAGCGTTGACTACAGCTTGGTTTTTAAGATTTCTCCGCCAATGGTTTGAACTTCTAAATTCTAGAAAACGTATTACTTCAGTCACATCGACAAATGTACAAAAGAAAAAGAAATTTATAAATTATTTTGTATCAATCATGGAACAAATTATAATTGGCAAAGGATGGAAACCATTAAATACAAGGTCAATTTTAACATCTCTTTCCTTTATGAAATTAGCGCAAGAATGTTTCGATGGAAAGTATAAATTTCTTCTAGGATCACGATTAAGTCAAGATGCGTTAGAAAACATTTTTTCACAAATTAGAAAGAGAGCAGGTATGAAACCTAGTGCATTAAATGCATTAAAGGTTATAAAGCTTATATGCTTATCGCAATTCATGTCTGACACAAAAAACATAAATTACTCGACTGATAGCGATCAATAAGGCGTCTAGAAGGGCTATGTAACATAATACTAAATGTTATTTTTACGTGTACTTAAGTATAAAAATTTGCACAAAAATTAAGACGATTTTTATAAAAACTTTATCGAAAAAGCATCGTGTCACAAGGCTCTGAGGCCTATTTGTGCTCTGTATACATGCTCTGTATAGCATTCTAATTAACAAAATGTTTGTAGAGGAGAATAATAATTCTGAAAAAGCTGTTAATGGAGCTTCTGCTGCGATATTTACAGAAAGTGACAAGGCAAATATATACTATATAGCTGGTAGTTGTGTAAATTTCCTATTTACGCACAAAAATATTTGTGAAAATTGCAAAAAATTTTTGCTAAATGTTGAATTATCTCGTGCAAGAGAGGCAACTTTAACTGAATGTCTTGACTTAGGAGGGTTGAAAAAAATTTCTAGTATAACATATGAAATGTTTCAATATACTGAAAGTGTTGTTCAAAACAATATGACAGATTTATTGCAAAAATTAGTATCTTTCAAAACTATTATCAATTAGGTAAAGGATAAATATGGTTCTTTATTTCCTCAATGTTGTAATATCCTACATTATTTACTTGAACACTATACAACTGTACGAGGTCTAGGAATAAGAAATTTTGAAATTTGTGATAAAAAAAATACCGTAAGCTACGGTTCCAAATCTGTATTTCAGAAAACCGTAATAAATTAATTAATTCATCCATCTCTTGTGTTGTATTTCTTTGATTCTTGTCCACAATTTTTGTATAAATAAAAATATGGCTTTCCAAAAACAAAGACGTAATTTGGATTTTATTAACAATTAATCTAGAACAAGAAATTCATCATATCTTGTGCCGAAATGCATTTGCCAAAGTCAAACGTTTGGGCTCCAAGATGGCGGACGAGTCAGCTATCCTTTATCCAGTAGCTGTACTTCTCTCGTCATTTATATGCGACTATCCAATCAGGTAGTACTAGAAGGAGACAAGGGGTTTGTTTTCTGTTCTTGCACTGGTGAACTAGTGCAGTAAGCTAGAATGAGAAAAAATCATAGAACTTATAAACATGGAAGGGGAATAGCATATACTCTCCGTGAGCTGAAACTGAGTCCAACATCTGTGTGACAAGGATAGATAGAAGATGACTTTGGTCCGTTATGCGCATGCGTTAAAATCGTTGCGCATGCGTTATTGTAATCTCGTTTTGGCCGCGCATGCGTTATTGTAATCTCGTTTTGGCCGCGCATGCGTTATTGTAATCTCGTTTTGGCTGCGCATGCGTATTTCGAGGAAAAGTCATAGAACGAGACAGAATTCTAGTTTCTTCTGTCTCACTTCTTGGCTTCACTTGTGCCGATTCGTTTCCCCTTCCATGTTTATAAGTTCTATGGAAAAAATATGCTTGTCTTACTCCAATTTATTGCACTAGTTCACTAGTGTAGGAACAGAAAACAAGCCTAATGATTCACCCAAACGCACCTCTCTCTCGGCAACAGCCAGAACAATAGATCACTCATTCCAGTATGTATAGAGTTCACTGCGTCCACTAGAGGAAGACAGATACCCAAATAAATTCATGTTGTCCTTTTCTTTCAGGAGGACTGTTTATGAGGCAGTGGAACCCCACCTAGGGTTCCACTGCCTCATAAACAGTCTATCTTTTATATGCCTATGACTATCGCTAGCTTTGACTATATGTATATTTTTCCGGATTGTGCTGTAAAATTCAAAATTACATTAACGTAAATATTTACATCAGCTTCTCTCATGTAGACAATGTAAATTTAGTAAATTAGATGTCAGAACGCACAGCACAGACATGAACCAAGTGGAACTTTTATCGGCAGAGTCAGAAAGTGCGCGATGAAATAGTTGGAAAAGTAAAAAAACGGGCGCGAGGGCGCGCAAAACGGTCTCCTGAAACGGCGTCAAGTAAAGCGCCGGCATGGCCGTTCTCAGGTATCTCTTTCTGGTCTATGGCTCTCTCGCGCGCGCGCGCGCGCGAGCAAAGTCCCTAGGCCCGTGGTCGCGGGTGCGGCCGCGCGGGGGCGCGGCGATCGCGGGCAGTCGTCGGCCCGCGAAGTTGCAGCTCCTGCGCAATGCGCGTGGCGCGCTGCGCCGCATCATCTTGCGTATCAGTGTTCGCCAGTGCCATCCGGAAGGCGCACATCGGATTACGCGGGGAAGCAGCGACGCGATAATCGCGATCCGTGGCGAGATTCCGCGAGCGGTGGTGCGTCGTCGATCGGGGGAAAAAACACGGGGAAACGGTCGCGAGGGAGGCGGACGGTGCGTCGGCGACGGTAGGGTGGCTGGTGGTCGACGGTCGCTCTAGTGGCGGCGGTAGTGGTGGTTGGTGGTGGCGGCGGCGGCGGCGACGGCGGTGGTGGTGGGTGCTCCGGGTTCCGCGAGTGTCCGCGAAAAACTAGTGCCGCGAGCCATCATGGCGAACCCACGGAAATTCAGTGAAAAGATCGCGCTGCTGAACCAGAAGGAGGCGCAGGACTCGGCGGCTTTCGAAGCGATCATGAAGGAGGTCTCGAACGTCACGAGCAGAGTAAGGAAATATCAGTATTGCCCTTTGGCGTGGATGGCTCGGTGCCGTGCCGCGATCGCGCCGTGACCCGTCGTGCACCTCCCTCGGCTCAGATGTTAGAACGTAAACAACGGGTGTCCCCCTCGCCCCGCCCGCCCCCGCGGCCCTCCCACCCCCCCCCCTCCCCCACGCCCCGCTCCGTTCTCGTTCTCGTTCTCCCTCCGAGCCCCGTCTCTTTTTGTGCGCTCACCGCGCTCTCGGTCTCTCCGCGTGTGTGTATGCGTGTGCGTGTGCGTGTGCGTGCGTGCGAGCGTGCGTGCGCGCGTGTCCGCCTGTCTGCCTGTCCCGCCTGCCTTTGCCTGCCTTGCCTGTGTATCGGCCGGGTTGCTCCGCGAGCGAGCGAGCGTGTGTGTACGTGCGACTGCTGTTGCAAGTGCATCTCGCGCGCGCGGCCGCGTACAAGTCCGTCGGCACTCGGCACGCGTAATACCCGCGCGCGCGAGCGGCGCGACGCATATACGTCGCACGGATTTCCGCCGCGCTCCCGCGCTTCTCGCGCGCGCCGCGCGCCGGCGTTCGCTCGGAGGCGCGATTACGCGACGCGCGATTAATCTCCCGCGATCGATCCGCGCCAAATTCCGCGCGTTTCCACTCGTACAATACAACTCCGCCGCGACGTCGTCGGAGTTGGAGCGCGGTACATTCGAACGGGTCCGCTGCCTTCGGTAACTGCGATTTCGATGAGAACAAAAGAAAAGAGGGGGGAGAGCGCGGAGAGCCGAGCGGCGTTTCCCTCGGGGCGATCTCGGTGACGGGTCAAGCGGCCTGGCGCTCGTTACGGCGCGCGTTCGATTCGTTTCGATGCGCGTGTAAACATTCCGCTCTCTCAATAGCAGCGCCGCGGCGGCCCTCGAGGTATTTTCAACGGGAGCGTCGGCGAGGTTGGGTCGATGCATTTAGCGTCCTCGAGCGCGCACCTCCGCGTGCCCCCGTGCGGTTAAAACGGACCGCCGCGCCGGGGAACGTTCTCCAATCGCGAGATAAGGACGCCTCGCGGGATCGTTCGACGCCTATCTCCGAGTATCTCGGGACAGCGAAAGCCATCTGGAACAAAACGAAAGCGCGATTGGAAGTTCGCTTCGCGGGGTTTTTTTTTTAAAGGCGCGACCGTTCGGCCCAGGGCTCGGCAAACTCGGCGCTCCGTTTGTCTTATTTACTCCACTGCCCGCGCAATCAATTGCATTTTCATTAACGATCAATCGTTACGCGAGTAATTCCCTTCGTTTTTGCCTCTCGAGCCCCCGCGAAGCCTGGAAAAACGTTCACCGCCCGACACGGAAAAGAGTTTGCCGACTCCGGGCTCGGGGTAAAAAAAGAAAAATGTTAAAATTCGACTCTCAAACACCAGCTGTTAACTGTCATTGGCCGTGTCCCGTCTACTTTGAATCCCGGTAAATCTCGTAAGGAAAATTTCGTGCGCGTTGATTGAAACTCGTTCGGGTCGGCAATCGGGGAATGGAATTAGCTACGGAGATAAGAAAAGCAGTTTATCGCAGCGTGGTCCACAGGAGGGCCGATAAATCGCTTTGTCGCGAGAGCCAACGTTTCGTCACACGAATAGGAACACGAAGAACGCAGGTAACGAGGGTGGCGGGATCCCTAGTCCTGATCGCGTAAGTCTCGCAGCAGGGAGGAAAGAAAGAGAGAGAGAGAAAGAGAGAGAGAGAGAGAGAGAGAGAGAGCAGCTGGTTAGCCCGCGGCAATGTTAAGAGTTTTCGCTCGCAAGCGCGAGTCGCGCGAGGCTAACCGGCCGATCGAGGAGCGCAAAGGATTGCTTACTCGCGTCACGTTTGCGGTGGCCATGGTTGTGAATGACCGGACCTGCACAGGTGGCCTCGGCGAGCAGCTCGGTGGGTGCTAGTCCCACGGGATCCGGCGTACCGGAGACCCCGCTGTCCGTCAAGAGTGCCGGCGCCAGTCCACCGCAGTCCAGCGGCAAGCATCTGCACATTAACCTGGGAAATCAGTTCAGGGCGGGTGGCTCGCTGCCGAACGTTAACAACAATGTCAATTGCGGCAACGACGCGAAAGAGCACTCCTCGCCGCATCCCGGCGCGATCCACTCGATCGACCTTAAGGTCTGTACCGTTCTCCCACGAACGAAAACAGTTCCCTCAGTTGTTGTTGCCCAGCCCCCGGCTTGTTGTCTCCCGAACGTTTCGTTGCACCCTCCGGAACGCACCCTCACCTTTCGTTCCACGGAGAAAAACTCTTCCACGTCGCGGTTCAATTCGCTCCGGAGATTACGTTGCGGGCTTGCCCGAGGAGAGACCTCGGCGGTCGAAAGAGTCCATTTTTTTTCCCGGCTGTCGCCTAGGCTCTCGGATATCTCGAGCGAACGTAAATGTCAAATCGAAACGCCAACATTTTAATCGCCGCGTTCAAAGTGCAACAAAGCTCGATCTCGATCCATTTTGTGCGACGTTTTCGATCGGAACGAGAGTCTGGAGGGGAAATTCTTCTCCGTGTGAAATTCACGCGAAACGCATTGCTGTAAAGTAAATAATCTGAAATCACTTTGTCGCACGCGTGTCTCGCGCTGAAACTCGTCTGTCGTCACTGTCGGGGCTAATCGAGGCCGAAAAGGGCCTCCTTTCTAACTCGGCGCAAACGAAAGACTTTTCTCCGTGCTTTCAAGGGTCGTCCTGCAGACATTTTACGACTCGCTTTGTCTCGCACCCAGATTTCAGTGTGAAATTCATTTCGAACGACACACCGTAATGTCTTGCTGTTTATTTGATCCGCGCGTACCAAGTAGGAAGCGTTTGTATTGGCAAGTACCGTTGACGTGTGCACATCACTGAACGCAGTAGGATATGTTGTACCGACCCGTAACCGATTCGTAGCAATTTCCCTTTTCGTAGTGATCTTGTCCCCCTTTTTCTTTTTTGTTGCAATGTCTCCGCACAGCAATGGAATTGCATGGCACGTACGCAGCAGCACGAATTAAAAATGTTCCCGATTGCATTGGCTCCACCCGTAAGCGTAGTTGTGTAGTCGATTACTTTTAGCGACAGTAATGAAATTGAAATCCTGCGGCGACGAGCGGAAATACAATAGCCGAGGCCGCAAAATAATGAAAAGTGTAACAACGCGGATTATGGCTAATTCGACGCGGCTATGCCATATCGCGGCGCGTAGGATAAATAAACGATGCATACGCTCTCGCTCGTGTTGCACTAAAAGGAACGACCGAAGGTTTTATCGTGCGTTTTCAACTCTGTGACCTTTGTATCGCGTCCGCATTGTGTGCAGCATCCGCATTCGATTAACAATGTGGAATTATTTTATCAAGCTGTGCAAACCGGCGCGAAAATTCCACGTGAAAAGTATCCTTTTTTTTTAATATCACGAAGGTCAGTCATTAATAATCCCGTTCGTGCATGACCATTAGATATTATATTCGTGCGAGTACCTCGTCCCGAGGGACTTATGGGATGACGTGGACACATTCACGAAATCATGACGACCTTACGGCGGGGAAAAGTTTTAACGAATGTAAATTAACCGTCAAATTTCAAGCGGCTTGGTAACTTGTAATGGGTTTATTAGCAAACTAATTCAAGATTTATACGGCAAATCCGGCCAGGTGCTTTGTAAAAGTATCGCGTGAAAAATTGTGCAAAATAGTTTAGCCTTGACATTGTTTCGCAGTTAACGGCAAAATGTACTCTATGCATTAGCAGCTGTGCATTATCCGGAGAAATAATTAAATTTCCCGAATCAAGTTTTCTCGCGTCCAGGCGGACTGAGAAAATTACGCGATGTCATTTCAGATAGCGATCCGATGATTAAATTACACATTTTTTTCACCGCGCCGACGCTACGTCGTCGTACCGTGGAATCGCAAAGGAAATCTCGCGAGAGATTCACGCGAGAAGAGAATCACGTGTACCGCCACGCGTGAGCGAGTCATTATTTTTACATGCAAACTTTTCGCAAGTCTCGCGGAAAGAAACGACGCTGTATTAGGTAACAGGAGTCTAATTGACCTAATCCTGTTAATTCAATAATGTTTTGATGAAGCGAGCGGCATTTTATTAAAGCGGAAGCATGGCGCACTTGTTATTATAATACTGTCACGGAATTAACAAGATTGTTTTCAGTTGGAATGGTATTAGCTGTCGCCATTGATACAGTGATTGTCGAAATTATGGCAATGCCGGGCGAGAAAATTCTTACCTCGCGCATAATCGAAGGATCCTATACCAGACGTAAGTTCGTCGTTTGTAAAGTCGACTTGAAAAGTGTCGAATCGTACCTAAAATAGACTTGAAAATTATGGACTTACCTCATTTTTACTTTCTTTCAATTTCAATCCAAGTTCTACAATAAACTATAGGTTTCTTTCAGTGTTTTACTTTACGATCTTTTCTTTAATAAATCTCCTCTCTCTCTTTCGAGAGAGAGAGAGAGAAACTACCGTATCTAATTAACTTTTGCTATGTAATTTGCTCTTTATAACGAATTCTTTTTAATTAATTGACACACCCCGCTTCACCCTCGACACGCGATTCCGCGAACGGTCGAGAAAGTCAAATGGTACTGGAATCAAAGGCGAATAAAATGATAAAAAATTGTTTAATTAAACATGGGCTCATAAATAGCTCGTAATTATGCATCGATGTCTCGTGTTTCCCCGCTGTAATTTGCCACGCTCGGGTCTGATTGAGTTTCAATGCATATTTATAGCTCAGCCGATATTTTAATGTCAAACATCAACATTTTTTTAACAATTTTATTCATATTTCGCCCCATGGCGTGTCTCATAATGATTACTTGCTATTGTTATTATACAAATCACATTTTTTTTAAATTTACGTAATTCGTATCCCTAGGCTACTTCTTTGTTCCTTATTTTTTTCCTTGACGAAGCGAGTTGTTTCACTTCGAAACGTTATGCGCGGGATATGTTGGAGAATGTCGTCGCACGTGATTGCCGAGCAAACTCGTCTCCCATGCGTCGAATTATACCATAAACCACAGCTGTAACAATACATTTAAACGTATTAATTAATGACAATGATAATAATCCTTTTGAGTTAAGGAACGAAACTCGTAGCTCGGCTCTCATTAAAAGTTATCGACTTAAAATAACGAGTCTATTTACCTCCGGTACTGTCCCTTGGACGCATTTCGCCACTTCGTAGATCTTTTCGCAAGCATCCGCGCCGTCTGAAACATCGGCCGAATCAGGGCGGAAAGTCGACGAGATAACAATAAAGTAGCAGTACGGGAAATTGGTGTAAAATGCATTTCGTCCACGACGTACCTTGCTTGGCGCATTTGTTCAAAATCTTGTTGCCTATCTCCTGAAATTCCGCCGGGATAACGCTTATCAGCATCTCAGCCTCCAGGTTACCCTCCTCGTCGACCTAATCGGCGAGACGTTTCGATCAGTTTTCGACCGGTCGCGCGCAATTTGTGAGAAACGACATCGACAAAAGAAATTACCAAACTGAAGGCGTCGAGGAGGCAGTTCATGTAGCACGTTATGCTCCGGTCATTCGAGAGCTTCCCATCGTTAACCTCGTCGATAAGCGCTGCATCGCGGAATTGAAATACCAACGTTATAAGGAGACGAGGGCTTTGATATCTAGCACTAGTGCGCGCTGAGTGCGCGCCAAGGCTTGTCTTTGCTCGGTATTCTTGTATCTACCATTGTCTTAAATACACGTTCAAAGAGTATTTAGCGAAAAAACGATCCGTATGGATGCTGTATAGATCATTTTACTGGCTGAGAAATATTTCAGACGATTCCTAAATATAAGAATAGACTGTAAACAGGCTTTGGTGCGTACTGAGTGCGCACCAAGGCTTGTTTTTGATCGGTATTCTCATATTTAACATTGTCTTAAATAGACGTTCAAAGAGTATTTAGCCAAAAAAATTATCCGTATGGATGCTGTACGAATCATTTTACTGGCTGAGAAATATTTCAGATGATTCCTAAATGTAATAGACTGTAAACAGGCTTTGGTGCGCACCGAGTGCGCACTAGTGCGAGCAACCGGATTCGCTAGCAGACAGAAAGATCTTGGAACGAACTATCCTCGAAATGAGCGAAACGTATGTATAATAACGCGGAACCACCGAATGTTGGTCGCGCCGTTAATCGCGGGACTCACCTTGACTCGTTCCGTGCTCGGCCATGCACCGTTGCTTGTCGCCTTGAACCATCTCCAACATTTCTGGGGGCACCCAGTCAGGTGGCTACGCAAAATCAGAATTTATTACGAGCGCGTCGGGCGGCGGGTATTTTCTCGCGTGTCGGACTTTAGCACCATTCGCGACAAGTTCGCGCGCACGCACGCCCGCGGAACGCGCGCGAATCGCACATCACAATGCGTACAGTGGGTCACTGCCGATTATCGCGCCGCGTTGTCCCTGCACCGAGCGGAGGGCGGGGGGAGGGGGGGATCTGTACCGCGTTTAACGAAAGTGTAAGCGGAAGGGCTTACCCCGGCGGACACGTAAATCGCCTGTAGCAACACTACGCCGAGGATCACCGACACGTGCATCGTCGTACGTTTTGCTCGCCTGCGCCTCGATATGTCACTTTTCTACGGCAAAATGTACCATCCGCGCCGGCCACGCGCTGTTTTTATAACGCCGCGACAACGGGATGTGGGCGTGCTCGATGGAGGGCTAATGCCATATCCTTCGCTTACTGATTGAGGCTCTTGGTTGTTAAGTCGCCGCTTAAACCCCGGCTAATTTTCGACTCTTAACGGAAGCGCGCGGCGCGCAATTACGTGTGTCCGCGACCTTGTGTATATCCTGCATACGCGTATCTACAAACGTACGCTCGACTTGGTGCGTGGAACTTTTCCATTTTCATTGAGCACACGTCAAGCTGATATCGGGAAAGCTGGATAACAAGTTTTTTTTCTTCCTCCGTGTGTGTGTTTTTTTTGTTGCAACGATGACACTCGAACGGAACGTAGTGATTGTTTTCGCGCTTGAAACGCGAAAATTCAAATTCGACGTAAACGTAAAATAATGATGTTTGGCGGGAAATTTTGGAAAATCGTAATTGGACGGAAAATAATCCCGTCGGCGTTCGTTAAAAAAATTTTTCATGGAACCTGTAAAGAGCGTGCACTTGAAATATTTACTTTAAGCTAAATAACGGGAAGCACTTAATATACGTAATTAACTCCATTGAACCTAAGCCGGAGACGGGCGTTTATTCGGTTCAACGCACGACCCTATGGTGTTTTCAATTCCGACGTATTTGTTGTCGGGGTTAATTGTTTTTCAAGCCGTCGACATTCTACCTTTCAACAATTCAACTCACGCGCCTTTTAATATAACATTCTAATATAAAAAATAATAAAGTACCTAGTTTGTGTAAATATTCAGTTTAGTTGGCGCCATTTAATGATGTCGTTACTTTTGTAGAGAAGATACTTTGGAGGGGAGGGAGAAGATAAAACAATTTTTTGAAATAAAAGATATCCAAATAATTAAATTATGTACGTCTTGATTAAATGACGCTTATACTTGGCGTCTTTTTTAAACCTGTTTTTATTAAAAAAGGTTAGTTTTTAAGGTGATTCAATTCACGCGCCTTTTAATGCGGCCGTTTCGGCTAATTCGCGATGCATAAAACCGTTTTATATTTTCTTCTTTTACGTAATATTATCAATCAATACCGATCGATACGTAAACGAAGCACATCCGCCGATAATGCGGAAGATACTCGCACGAGACGATGTCGTAACCGGTAAGGATACAATGCAGCGATCGTTAAATTACCGCGAAATTGTAAGAATCATCGTCAACATGGCGATACGAAATCACCAGGTATGATAATGACTAAAAATTGGTTAATTTTCGGTCGTTTTACCATTCGAGGTAAAAGGGGGAAAAAGAGAGAAGAGAATAAAGAGAAGAGGTTGCATCAACTACGCGCGTATTTGTGGTACATTAATTTGATACTTCCGATCGCATTATCGCCGTAATAACTTGGGATTATAGATCAGACTTTGCACTGCGCGATTGCTGCAATTTGTCAATGAGTGTAATTGTTTGCTTACGGAGGCTGCAATATGTAACGCTGCCGGAGGTAATAAACAAAGGGAATTCGTATTTCAGTTTACGGTACGCGCGCATAGAGCGCGTATCACGTATCACTCTCCATAACGAAGCAATTAAATCGCGGGACGAAACGTAATATCGAGATCGCTTCGGCGCCGCGTTATCGTTTGCGCACGAGTTTTTTGCGCGAGGGCAAAAGACGGCATTCTCAAATTTAACTGCGTTAAATCGAATCGATGAACCTGCCTGATTGACCTTCTATCACCCGCTATTTCCCGTCCACCGGCAATTCACTGAAAATTAATTAGATTATAGATACAAGGTAATTCGATCGGCGGTGCGTTTAGACGATTGGTAGATTTGTCGGGTTACGCGGCGGGTACGCGTAAAAATTGCAGCGCGTTGTCGGGGAAGGAAGGAACGGACCTAGAAAAGGAAGTATTGCGATGCACAAGAAAGTAGTACGACGCCAGAGAATGTTTCTCGTGGATATCAAGAATGAGATCTGTAAGCAATTCCTCGGAATCGATTTTCGCGGCGTTTCAGCTGAAACTCGGATGACGAGTCGCAAAATTGTATGTAATTCGAGCACGGACGGTCGAACTTGTTTAGTATTTTAGCTGAAACTCGTACGACGTATCGCAAAATTGTATGTAATTCGGAATAATGTAAAGCCGCGTGTGTTTCCTCGTACCGACAGACCTTGCGAGTTTCCTGAATAAGTGATGCTTTGTGAGCCGTCTTATAGCTTGGCGAGAAATTGATCGGTCACGCAGGACAATGGGAAAATCATTGTGTTTAGTCTACAAGTATCACAATGCCACGGAGAGCCCCGTGCTTATTAATACACTTCGACCTTGATGCAGCGCTTGGTTTGAGGGTAAAACGAGTCCTATACGCCGCTTATATCCCGCGCAAGTTTCTATTATCAGTTGGCGCGACAAATTGCCGGTATACGTTTCTGATACCCAATTATCCCAAGGTCCCAAGTTCACGTGCGGTGTCCTATCGAGAGGCTCTAAATCGGGCGACGCGTTCGCCGATCCCGACGCAACCGGGGCTTATCTCTCTCGATCGCTCGATCGAGGCTCGAGTCCCGTGTGCGTATAAAGAATCGCTCGCGATTAGCGTAAAGATCCGACGAGTCGCTGCCAAGACAGTCAAGGTCGAGTTTCGATCGCGCGCGCGCGCGCGCGCGAGGAAACGCACCGAGAGGCGGTCTTACCTCTCCTCTCGGACGCGCGGCGATCGGGGTCAAGCGATTCCTCCCGGGTTCTCACCCCGCCGCGGCCGTTCGATCATTCGTCGCGCCTCTCGAGGCCTGCTGCTGCCCGTCGTCGTCGCGATTGCACTCGCGTCGTCTTCTCGCTCGTCCAACTTTCTCGCGCGCACACGAATCGATCGAATTTCCGGCGGATTTCTGCTCCTGCGCACGTGCCGTGGCGCACCTACCCGCCGTTCATGTCGCCGTTCATGTCGCCGCGAGGAGAGCCTCGGCTTAGCCTTGCGCTCCGATCTCTGTCGCGGCGCAATCTAATTGAATGGCAGCCCGGTGGCCGATAAGGCGTACGTACGAGCCTTCATTCTCGGGACAATATAAACAGCGGCCTCGGAATAATGTCGCCGGAACTTGCACTTTGTTTCGGCGAGCTGTGTCCAACGTGTCCGCTCAGACGCCCGTTGCAACGTTCAAACCATCATCGCGACTCGCTGAAGCACGCGCGGAATGGAAAGGCTGGCTGGAAAGAGTAGACAACATTTTTTTTTGCAATCAACTTTAAACGAGTCGTTATTTAACTCTGCGCTCTTTCGTCGACAAGCAAGGAAGCTCCGGTTGGAGAGGATATTCTCCTCCAACGTTGCGAGCTACCACGCAAGCTCCGCGGGCACAGCAGAAAACAAACGCCACCGCATACACGTGCTACGGGGCAAGTGTGCGCTCGCATACGAAATATTGATCGCCTTACTCGTGCAGGAGGTACTCGCCAGTTTCATTCGTTCCCGGCGTGCCGATTGTTACGGCCGTTGCTGCTGCGGCTGCGGCTGCGGCTGCAGCTGCAGCCCAGCTTCGATCGTCGCGGTCCTTGCGCCGCGACCGAAATTTCGCTGGTAGCGGAAATGTCAACGTTGCCTCTCGCATCAGAGGTTTTACCATCGTTTGCAAAGCGGAATCCCCGTCCCCTGATCCGCCCGTTGCAGCCCACGGCACGGCGATCGATTTTCACGGATAACGCGCGCGTTTCGTATCGAGATTCCCGGGGATTATGTCCGGGTGCACCAACGAAGCGACGATCCCTTTAAGACCTCGCTTCATCCGCGACGATGCTTTCATTCACCGTCATTTCGGAGAGGACGCGCGTAGCATATCGACGCTTCGCGTATTATACAATTGGACGGGGGATCGTTTTCCGTGGTACGGAAAAACGAAAGCGGGACGTGGAAATTCGGTGAGAGATGCAGCGTGCGTCCTGTTTCTTTCTTATCAATCGACAGCCTTGAATGGCGATGGGTATCCTCGTCAAAGTGGGTCATCGCCGTCGGGAGTCGGCAGACGGCGGCGGCGGCGGCGGCGGCGTAGCGTCGTGACGACGGCCGACGTGTGTGGGTGGGTGGAGCGAAGTTGTCATCGGAAGGCAAGGGTAGGGACCTAGGTCGCTGGAGCAGAGAGCTGCTTGCGTTGCGAGTAGGAGGGAAGCTTCTTCCGCGACGATCGGTTCCCGACCTCTTCAACGCGTTCCGTATTCCTCGCCCCATTCATAACGCGCCCTCGTTCTGCAGACTGCACAAAAATACTTTGTCTAACTCGGCCGGTCTCGCTCGGCCATTAAGACCCGTCTTCCATTAACGAAAATTTCATCGTTCGCCACTCTCCTTCACACGCAGGCCCGCGTCGAGGGATGCCGGAGTGGTTCTGCACTTTTGCCACCTTTTGCTCCTAAAACTGTCAGTTCGCGAAAACATTTGTGTAACGTACAAATTATGTGGCTTTTGTGCACGAACCGACAGTGCTCCGCTATTCTGACTAAATGAAAGAATAGCATAGTATCATTGAAATCAAGTTTAGAAGCCTGACAAAAAATCTATTCACTCGGATAAGTTATAGGTTAGGTAACCTGTAACTTGTTAAGCTCCTAAACTTAATTTCAATGTTACCATGCTGTTCTTTCACTTGATCCGAATAGTGGGACACTGTCGGTCTGTACACAAGAGCCACATCGTTTGTATATTACAGAAATGTTTTCACGAATCGACAGCTCTGGGGGCAAAAGGTGGCAAAAGTGTAGAGTCGCCCCAGCATCCCCTTGATGCTCCGATTAATATTCCGCCGTGAGTCCGGCGTCGCCGATTTACACTCACGCTTGACTCTCGTCTCGCATTTTTAGCAGGAATATCCCGAAAGTTGAAATCCCCAGTTTCAACCTAATTCTACCGAAAGTTTGATTAGCTCGCGTTACGTAATATTATCCAATAATACCGAGGGTCTTTGATTTTCTCGTTGAGAAAATCCTTACATGGCGCGTGATTCGCGCGAGGGTCTGCCTCGCTCCATAATTTCTCATTCCACTGCA